TACCCGTCAAATTGCTTGGGGCGATCTCCACAACCTAATTGGAGACCCCAACGCTTGTCCGAAGCTTTACACCACAATGATTGAGCTCCGAACACCACCAACCGTCTAGGGCGCCCAAGCACCCAAGAGGAACAAGCTCAAGGGCACCAAGCACCCAAGAGTAATAAGCTTCTCAACTTGTAACTTCCACGTATCACGTGGAGAACTCAAACCGATGGACCAAATGCAATGGCAAGGGCACACGGAGTGCCCAAGTCCTTCTCTCCCAAATCCCACCAAAGCAACTAATGCTAGGGAGGAAAATAAGAGGAAGAACGAAAGAAGAACACGAAGAACTCCAAGATCTAGATCCAAGGGGTTCCCCTCACTTAGAGGAGAAAGTGATTGGTGGAAACGTGGATCTAGATCTCCTCTCTCTTTTCCCTCAAGAACTAGCAAGAATCATAGGAGGGCTTGAGAGTTAGCAAGCTCGAAGAAGGTCAACAATGGGGAAGAACACGAGCTCAAAGGATTAGATCTCAATGGGGAAGAAGACCCTCTTTTATAGGTGGGGAGAAAATCCAACCGTTATCCCCTCGCTCAGCCCGCACGATGCGGTACTACTGCACGGAGCTACAGTACTACCGCTGCAGGTTGCGGTACTACCGCATGTGCAACACTGGACAGATGAAGGCCTGTTGCACAAGGCAACGAGCGGTAGAACCGCCGGAGCGGTACTACCTCGCGCCCCTACGGTACTACTGTAAGGCAGGCAACACTAGGCGCAGAGAAAGCACGGAAGTAAAAAATTACTTCTGTACCTACTTCCGCTGAGGGAGGACCTGCGCAAAACTCCGGCACGGTACTACCGCACACGAAGAGCGGTACTACCGCATAGGGCGCGGATGTAAAAAATTACATCCACCCCTACTTCCGCTCATGCTGCTAAGCCTGGCCAAAGCCCACGATACTACCGCGCCCGCGGCGCGATACTACCGCGTAGGGAGCGGATGTAAAAAATTACATCCGCCCCTACTACCGCTCGAGCAGCTGCGCCTGGCCAGAGGCCACGGTACTACCACTCCCACAGAGCGGTACTACCATGAGCACCTGCAGTACTACCGCAAGGGCCTGCGGTACTACCGCTCTAGAGAGCAGTACTACCGCATGCCCCAGATCAGCAACACTAGGAGTCCTTCATTTTGCAGAGAAGACAACAGAGGGAAACAATAAAACCAGATCTGCCATAACTTCTGCAAATGAGCTCCAAATTGAGCAAACTCAAGCTTGTTGGATACAAGACAACGAGTAGCATCAAAACAGGGGAGGTATGCCTAACAAGAGAGGAGAGAAACCTCCAACAGAGAAGAACCGGCAGAACCTCCAACATCGAAAACATCATAGAAGATGCATGTGAACTCCGTTTTCGATGAACTCGAGCTTGTCATGAAAATGACCAAAAGCTCCAAATCTCACAAGGAGAAGAACCAAACAAGAACCAATAAAGATGATGCAATGATGCAATGGTTTGAGCTCTCTACGAACGATATGATCAAGCAACTCATCGAGAGCCCCCCTTGATAGTACGGCAATCGATCCTAAAACCCGGTCTCCCAACTACCACCATGAGACCGGTAAAATAGAAAACCTATCAAGGGCAAACCTCTGCCTTGCACAAAGTCCATTTGAGCTAGATGATGACGATCTACTCCTCCTCAAGATGGACCACCTTTCTTGATTGCGTTGGCTCAATGAAGACTAGTATATTGCTCCCCCATACTCCACTATGGGTGAGCCACTTTTCCGCTCATCTTCACAAGTCCATTGTCACCACAATGGACGGCAAGCTTCAAGCACTTGATCTCTTCATGATGCATCACTTGAACTTGCACACCGCAACCTAACCCCACAAAGAACTCTCACGAAGACCATGGGTTAGCACACAAAGCGTAATGGACAATGCTTACCATACCATAGGATCACTTGATCCCTCTCGGTACATCTTCTACGCTTTGTGAGTTGATCAACTTGATTCACTCTTGACTTAGTCTTGATAAACCTTGAATCTTTGCAACTCTCTTCATTTGGATGATGTCTTGAAGGTAAACATGAATGATCACACAACCTCCTTCTTCAAGACATTCTTGCAATAAGCTCAACACTCACATGACCAATCTTTGGATAATTCCTTAATAGCACCTTGGTCAACTCATAAACTCCTTGAAACCAACACATGGACTTCAAGAAAAACCTATGGACAAATCCTTCAAATATAACTCAACACAACCATTAGTCCATAGAGATTGTCATCAATTGCCAAAACCAAACATGGGGGCACCGCATGTTCTTTCAACAAGTCATGCTGAAATCCACGAAAAATTCCAGCATGACCTTTGCTAAAATAGGACATATCGAGCGCCTGAAATTTGCCAGAACGAAAATTAATCAACATTCTGACAAAACATAGGCCACTCGGAGTTTCGCCGCAAACAATAAAAGCCAAGATATCACTTGGGTAAGCACATACACATGCTACTACTACATAGTACTACTCCACATATCAAAGTAACAAAAAGACCATCTTAATTTACTTTACTCACTGGACGACTATCGAGGATGCCGGTGATCTTCTAGGTGTCGTCAAGCGGCACGTCGATGATCTTCCCTGCACATAAATAAAATAAGTATGTGAGTTGTGCTTGATTCCAAATAGCAACCTATGAGAATATCCAATTTGATTCAAATAAAATTTCTACTTTATACCCTAGAAAAATGCCCTGATTTTTTACCTACTTTCTGCAATAAGTTTATAGTTCCACAATATAACTTAGAGTTTGATTGCTGAAATATATTTGAAAATATACTATGAACCCTAGAAAAATGCCCTAATTTCAGAATATAACAAGTACATGACATTTTTAAAAATTCTACCAACTAAATATAGTAAACTACAACTATAATATAGAAACTATAAACTACTTCAGTAAACTACAAACTAGAGATTAATTTAGTTAAATGAGGGAGCTAGGAGGGAGGAGGGAGGAGGGACGGTGGCGGCTGGAGGAGGAGGGAGAAGGGTCGGCGACGCCGGGAGGAAGGAGAGAGGATGAGGAGGGAGGAGGGTCGACGACAGCTAGAGGAGGAGGAGGGTCGGCAGCGGCTGGAGGAGGAGGAGGGAGAAGAAGGCGATGGCGGCTGCGGTTGGGCGTGCTCACCTAGGCCTTGGGGGACGACGAGGCAGGGGAGGAACTCGCGGAGGCCTCCGGGGCTCGGAGTACGGCGACAATGCGGCGATGGCGGGAGGAGCACACCAAAAATGCGGTGACAGTGAGAGAGGGAGAGTGAGTGAGTGAGGAGAGGAAGAGTTAGGGAGCCGAGGAAGAGGATAACCTACCAGTAGCAGCAGCGCGTGTCCTGTAAAGCGCGCTACTACTATACGTAGCCTGCTGGGTATGATGGCCACCACATAGCAGTAATGTGGTTTGGCACACCCGCGCTACTGCTAAACGGATAGCAGTAGCGCGTTCCAAAGGCCCGCGCTACTGTAAAGTAGTAGTAGCGCGGGCGTCAGACCCGCGATACTGTTAAGCCTCCACCTATAAGATTTTCCCTAGTGGTGATGGACAAACCGGAGAAGGAAGAGCTATCATAATCTAGTGGAGAGAGGAAATAACAGTGTTAAAGATGGGAAGATGGCTCGACCCCCCGCGCGCGCGCGCGCGAGA